GTATTTATTGCCTATTTCCCAAAAAATGTCAGTCCAAAATTGGTTGCAAACTATTAATATCTGCAAAAGAAAATTTTATCTGGTCCCCTGGGGTTTGTTGCCATGAGATATTACTGTACTTTGATTTCATCAAGCTGTGATTTTTTATGTTGACATTCATTATTCATATTTTTTCTCTTACAGAATAAACGTTACAAAAACGACTGCATCAACCAGCAAGAATTCCAATAATAACTCAAATGTGGCGCCGAATTCTGTAAGGGTGACTGGAACCAATAATTCTCTGTCTGTATCAATGGGCCAGTCTTCAAGTGCAATTCTCCCTCTCCTTGCTGGAAATGGAGTCCCAGATTCTGCTACAGCAAAGAGTAATTCATCTGGTGCTGTTCCTCAAGCATTGCCAGTTCCAGTTGGCAATGAAACCAGCGTAGTTGCGGTAGGAAAATCGGGTGAGTTTTCTAGAACATTTTCTGAATTCCGTCCAAGTGATACTTCTTTTTGCTGTACTGGTGTACTCTGCCCTGTTCTACAAACAAAGAATAAATCTTCGTTACGCATTGAACAGGAATGAAGAATGAACTAGCAGAGAGGAATCTCGCATCTGTTGCTTCAGACCATCACTTCTCAGTTCAAATAGAATCCCATGCTTTGCAGGCTTCACAACTGGTTCTTTCACAAAAAATTCAATATCTTGAGAACTATGCTCAAATGAGGAAATGTTCTGTAAGATTTTTCAAGCTGTGGCATTCAAGAATGGATTCACTTCAGGGTTTTTCAAATACTAGATTTTAACTTTAAAAGAGCATACCTGATGGAGTGTGATTTTCACGTCTGCAGTGTTAACTGAGGATCCTATAGGGGTCTGGGGGAACTTCATCCTGTAACATGTGTCTGTGGCACCTACTTTTAGCAGGTTTTCCTTGGCATGGAAAAAAAATTAGGGTGCTGTGAAACGGTTGTGGAGGTACCCGGTTCAATCCCACCCCTTGGCACATTTTTTTTAGAAAACATTTCCTATTTTGATTTGAACTTCCTCCTGCCAAAAAAATTCCAAATTTGTAGAAATGCATTGTGCATCCAAGAAAAATTTTAAAATTGAAATTGCTCCAAAAATATTATGAGTTAAACTTGGAAGTCCAAACATTTTTTGTTTTCCAACCTTCTCAATATAAAAATTCACCATATGATTTCTGCTCAACAAAACTCTACCTTTTTTATAGGGTGGATGCGCAATGAAGTTCTGCACATTTCCTCATTTCCAATTTTGAAAAATTCCAAAAATTGACTGAGATATAAAAAAATGCGGACCTTTTTCAAAAAATTGAGTGAAAAATGGGAAAAATTCCTTTTTAGATCTAAATTTTTTAACTGATCAAATTGAAAACTCCATGTCATTGCAAATACAGCTGCACAAATTTTTTTAATTCAGGAAAATAGAACAAATTAATTTTTAAGTTCTTCCAGCCAAAAAAATTCCAAATTTCAAGAAATTCACTCAGTATGTAATGATGATTTCAAATGTATGTTATGTACGTATGTATGTATGTATATATGTATATTTTGCTACATTGGGGCACTAACATAGAAAAACAGTGCAATGTTATGTCTATAATGTCATACAGCAATTCTTTTTTTGAATATAATATATAAAAATTTGAATTCCGAAGTTCAATTAGATTGCAATTAGTATTAGAGAGTCCGCACTGCAGAGGCTCTACTACTAGTTTGAATGTGGCAAATCAACAAATTCAATTTTCTCTTTTTACTGAAGAAAATTTCTGCTTTCCCAAGTGTCCAATGGATCAACTGATTTTATGTAAAAATCTACCTTTTGAACATGTTTTCTGTAGT